AACACGCGTGTAGAGGCACAGGTAACACTTTCCGTCAGGCGGCGTAGAGCAGAAGCCCGCCAGGGACGAGGGAGGTCTGGGGCGCCGAAAATAAACTCGAAGCGCTATGACGCCAAAAAATAAAGGCCTGGGTCTGAAAAGGGAATTACGGGCCTTCCCTGGAACAAATAACCCCTGGAACTTAGGCAATAAAACCTAGTCGACAACAAAACTATTCCAATGCACTCCATCTCTAGTAGAAACATTCCAGAAAATAGCTGACTTCGATAGGGGAGGAACAAGGGTTCCCGTGAGCGCGGCAGAACCCAATGTTTCTGATGACTCTGACAATGAGGCAAACCTGTGGGCCAAGCCAGTTGTCTTCGTAACTCCAATTTAGAGCGAAGGCATAAACAGCCTAACAGCCTGGCTGAAAAAATCGAGAGTAAAGCCTAGACAACTCGCCGTTGTAGCTACAGGCGAACCTGTAAATAGTGTAAGGACCTAAGAGGTGATTTAGCCCTTGAAAAACGGAATCGTTGAGGCCGTAACCATCGAAGTCAACGAGTTTGCAGATACAGTCCGCACTGACGTTCAGGTCCCTAGGGATCCACGTGACCTCGAACGAAATGCAATGAAGGGAGCAAATTTGAAAAACAACTAGGGCTAAATCCCGGAGATCGCGTTTCCTGCTGTCGTCGCGAAGAATGGTTTAGACGTTATGGTTGTCAGAATACTAAAAACCCTTGGACTGATTATGTAAAGGGCTCCCGAAGGCTAGTAAGGCAAGACAAACCGCTTTGAGTTCTCTCCAAGTCGATCTACGAACACGTTCCGACCAATTCTGATGAAAAATCAGCTCAGGTTCCGACTCCTCTTAAGCGCCGCAGGCTGAATAGGAAGCATCGGAGAAGCCGGAACTTACTCTCACTGGAAGCGAACTGGAACCCCTCAATAAATTTTGCCGTGGAGAGGCTAACATTGTTCGACCAAAATTCAATTTCATACAAAGAATCAACGGATAGGAAAACCTAGCTATCCCAGGAAGCACCTGAGTAAACAACTGAGAAAAGAAATCGGGCCATGATACACGCGACGGATCCCACGCAACTCGAGAGGGAAATACTATGGCCAGCTACACACGGGACGCGTAGAAAATGGAATGTGGGGGAAGACTAATATGAAGACAAAGCCACCAGGTCGTGAGACAATTTAGCAATGCGTTCATCCGTGGCTCTAATACTTCCATCGAGAGTGTTATGAACACGAAGCCACGAGAAAATTTGAACGGGCTCCCACAGGGACTTATCCTCATTAGGAATTCGAACAAAGCGAGACTAAGGCAAATCGGCATGGACAGCCCGCAAA